TCATGAGTTCAAGACCAGCCTGAGCCAGAGTGAGACTGCATCTCGAAAAATGGTAAGGCACCATGGCAGGTGCCTGTAGTCATGGCAGCTACTCAGAAGGCAGACGCAAGAGAATCACTTGAGCCCAAGAGTCTGAGGTTGCTGTGAGCTATGTCACCATGTCACGCTACCTGAGGCCACAAAGTGAGACCCTGTGTCCAAAAGAAACAAACAAATAAATAAATAATAAAACATAGTTGTATTGCTGCAGAAAATGTGAGGTTATCTTGTGTTATTTGTGCTTTCTTATCTCTTGGCTGGGGGAGATTGTGAGTGCACAGCAGGGTGGGTTAAGCTGGGGCTGGAAATCTCTCCTGAGCTCACCTGAGCAAAGTGTGTGTCTATGTCAGGGGTGTGTGAGCATTTATGTGTGTACGTGAATGTGTATGTGTGTGTATGTGGTGAGTGCCAATATTGTGAGAATGTATGTGTGTGTACTTGTGTATGTGTGCATGTGTGTACCAAGAGCAGGAGCCACTCAAATCCAGAGTGACTATAGCCACCTTCAGCCTCTAGGGGTTTCTCTAATACTGCAGGGTGAGAACCAGGGTTGTGTTTTTGGACAAGAATAAGTTTCCTGGGATGGGGGTGGAGGCTTTATATGTGGCACAAAATAAGCTTCCTAGGATGGGGGTATGGGAAGGTTTATATGTGGCACAAAAATAAAGATGCACAGGGCTACGGGAAAACTGAAGGAAGAGTGAGAAGAACTTGTTACTAGTTTCCAGGATGCTGTTCCAATCATCAGCACCCACTGTTAAAGCCCAGTACTAAGACCTCAACAGCTTTTATTTCTAAATTGTTACCTACATATTTTCTTGAATTATATCATATTGAAGAAAATTTTATGCATTTTCGTAAATATTTATGTGCATCCTCATTGTTTAGGGTCATTTCATAAGACACACAAAAGAGAAGTTGTCAAAAGGGGTGAGTGAACTGAGTTCAGCGGAGAGTATTCACAAAGCTGGGGCCACAAAGCTGGGGCGTGATGGAAGGACACTAACCAAGAGAGACAAGGCTCCCAGGGGGAGGGTAGAGGGATTCTTAATACCCTAGTCTGGAGGGGAAGGCAGGGAGCAACCTCCAGGGAGGCTGAGTGAGAGCTGCAGCCCAAGGGAAGCCGCTGGTGGGCCATTGTGGATTCAGCAGGCGATGTGGCCTCCGCCAAACCAAAGCCAGGCAGGAAGGGCCCAGATCTCTCCTTCCTCTCTCCCTTCAATCTCCTGCTGATGCCTTCCCTGGAAAAAATCCAATCAGGAGCTGAAGACAAGGCCACCACTGTGATGCGGGCACAGAGAAGGGCAAGAAAGGGTGGAGAAGGGTGGACAGTACAGTCAGAGGACAAATGGAGACCATGTCAGGCCCTGAGCTGTGCTGCGTCCTAAGGGGCCAGGGGGTGGAGGTGGGGTGGTGGGTGGGGGATGCAGATACAAAAGGAGTGAGCCACAGTCCCCTTCTGGAAGAACATAAGTCAGTAACTGAGAGAGTGTGGTAGAGACCAGAACTTAGCTTATAATCATGACCAGCCTGTTATTGTCTTTTATGAGGAAGATCAAATGACAGTTTACAAACAGTCTAGAAATCAGAATCATTACGCCTAACGTGGCTTTAGAGTAACAGCAGCCCCCGCGTTAAACACCTAACATTCATGGGCAATATCATTCTTGTGTCTTTCTCTGATAGGATTCTGCTACCAGGGAGATGCAAACTCTGGCCTCCAAGCTACTCAGCCATCTGGTCTCCTTGTCAGTATAAACCATTTTCCACAAGGAGAAGAGGCATCTTCCTACATGGCACACCCACCCCCTGTGCCACACTAGATTATAGTGTCCTGTCATTTCATTGGGGGCAAAACAACCGGCAAATGTCCAGGACATGGTAAGCCATGAAACCCGATAGTAAGTGCTGTCAGCTCTAAAACTGTGAAACCTACCTCGCAGTTCTGTGTCTGGTAACAGAGCCAACATTGCACGCGCATGTGTGTGTGTGTGTGTGTGTGTGTATGCATGCACGTACTGTGTGATTTTTAAACACTGAAAACAAAGATAAATGATGGAGCCATTCCTGCCTTAGATTATTCCTTTCTCATCTGCTATGATGGCAGTAGATGGGGGGTTGGGTGCACATTCCAACCTAAGATGGGGCAGTAGGGCTCCCATCCCCCTAGAACTGGTAGCCCCTATTCTGCAGCAGCTGAAATATTTGTACAAAACATGAGATATAAGGTCTGTGAGAATCCATGATTCTGACTTAATTTTTCTAAGAATTTGAAGCAAAACCATTTCATTCAGGAAGAAAGGAAATTGTTCATTGATCCTTTCTGAGAATCATTTTTTAACAATAAAGGTTAGCCACACATTGTGGTGGGTACCTGTAGTCCCAGCTACTTGGGAGGCTGAGGCAAGAGAATCACTTGTGCCCAAGAGTCTGAGGTTGCTGTGAGCTATGGTACCACAGCACTCAACTGTGGGTGACAAAGGAAGACTGTGTCTCAAAAAACAGACAAACCAAAAAACCCTGTAAGGGTTGGTCTAAAGGAAGAGCCAACACTATTTGGTAGAATCTCACCTATGCAAGTGAGTCCCTGGGAAAGTGGCTGGGTGGGTGTTAGGGGATGTTGAGGAACTGTGTTGGCTCCCTTTGCAAAGCAAAACCCCTATAGAGGTGCCATTTACAAATTCATTTTAAAAAGGCAACTAATACAGAAAGATCAGAAAGCTCTGTTTTGAACATACACTGTTGCAGTCTGACTTTGTTTTGAGAAGCTGCCCAGTTTCCCTTTACACAGATTGTACTTTGTAAATGTTCACTATAAACAAAAGCTCAGGCTGAGATGTCGGGGACCGGCCCTAAGAGCTGGCGAACAATATGCTATACACACTGGTAAACAAAGCAGCAGAGTCTGGGCCCATGGACCAGGGATATAAGTGGTGACCACCCAGAGTTCCAAAGGGATTAAAGGGGGCTTCTTAGCTTCCACTCCTGGCAGCTCTGTGTGGGGATGGGGGGTAACTCCCTCTGGTAGCAAGTGGTGGAAATATTTCAACAACCTGTCTGTAGTTTGTCTTCGGGGATTTCTCAGCAAGTAATCAGAGTTATGGTTGATAGTTTAAGGCTTGCTGATTTTTTTTTTTCACAACTATGTAAGTGGTATATATATATTTTTCTAATTGTAGGTTTAGAATACCAGTTTTTTAAATGGAAAAATTGGATGGAAGAATACTGTTTGGACTAATGCCAAAACACAGCTTCCTTTTCTTTTCTCCTGTGAATTACATTAACCCACTTAGCTATTGAAAGTTGTGAAAAGAGCCAGTGGAATTTAGCTGGGTCTGCCAGGAACAGAGGAAGGCAGGGAGTGCTGCGTCTGGGCACAGGCAGGTAGGGGAGCTTCCAGGAGCTCACAGACTACCCTGGCTTTGAGTAGCTCTAAATGAAGAATGGACGGGAGTAAAGGCCTAAACACATTCATCAAGATAGTACACTATTTGTAGCTGTGGTGAAACAGATCATTAAATTGGACAGAGATTGTGGCTGCCGTTTAAGCTTCCTCTGGCCAGACCATGTGTCTCAGATGAATAAAGCAGTAGAAGAACAGTGAGATGAGTTCACATATCCAAGCTGGTTTTGACTTCTGCTCAAACAGAAATTAAGCCATACCCATTGTAGCCCTGATTTGGAGAGGAAAAGAAAATTTAATTAAAACAGGTTTTTGCATAACTGTTTAATAAACAGATCTCTTTTAATGGAAATACTTTATAGATTTCCACCATTGGCTTAAATTACTTTTACTATAATGACGGTGTTTCTCTTTCTCTTGATTTTCCTTGTACTTGGAGCTTACTGAGATCCTTGAGTTTCTATTTTTTTAGTCAACTTTGGAAAAGTTTTAGCCATTTTTTAAGATGATTTTTTCTGTGCCATCTCACCCAAGTCAATCCTATAATATACACACACAAATAGTTAAGTTGGTTAAAGTTGTTCCTCAGCTGACCATATCATTAAGACTCTGGGTTTGTTGTTGTTGTTCAGTTTTTTCCCCTTTCTTGGGGACCCTGTCCTATACAGCCTGATGTCCAGTGTCTTCAAATTGTCATTTCTTATATTTTTTCCTGTTTTCTAGTTACTTTCCACAAGAGGGTAGAACTAGTCTTTGTTAATCCATTCTAGCTCAATCAAGGGCCCCTCCTGAATCCTCTCTCAGAAATGTGAAGCAATTTCTCTCTCCTCCAAATCCTGAGGAAATGTCTTCTCCAGATTTATTGATCATTAGTGGTCATATCTTACCCTAAATGGATAACTCTGAGAATGGTGTTACACGAATTGTTGAACCAGGTTTTCGTTTAGTTGAATAATGAATTCATAGACTGAAGGAGATGATAAGTGAATCAGCAGTTTCTTAGGGCATGTAGGGAAATTCATTTACTGAGGAAGGAGAAGGGAGGAAAGTGGGTCTCCAGCGGGCTGCCAATGAAAGCTAAACGTTAAGGGGATTATATATGTTGTCTAACTGTGTCTATTTTCTCTAAGGTAGGGAGACCAGACGTCCCGCTTTTCAACAATTTGTCCCGTGTCCCGTGGCATTTTTAAAAAGTCTCGATTTTTGGAAAGAATGCACGGACGGGCGGGAGAACAAGAAGGGAATATACGGTTTTCAGCTGCCATGTGGCTATTTCGCCAGAATATGAGTTTTATATTATTTTTGTTAATTTTATAAAGTTAAACTGCAATAATAACAAATAATTGCTGAGAAGTGATTATCGAGAACTGCTTTTCAAAGTTTGCATTGTTGTCAGGCCCTGCCCTGCCCTGTTCCCCCCACTCCCCAGCCATGTTGTCCCGCCTTACCCATGTTAAAATCTGATCACCCTACTTGAAGGGTAAAGAGTGGAACCTGTGTTCTTTTGTGTCTCAATTTCTGGCACCAGGTGTCTCAATTTTATTTATTTATTTATTTATTTTTTTTACATGCCAGCAGTATATATTTATTATTCATGAACAGTCAAAAACTACAAGGCCCATTATTATGAGTAACCACACATATGAAACATCACTGAGCAACATGGAGTGAAAAGGACAGTTATATTTTTATATTAAAAAAATACAAGTACACACACACCCTTTCTCTCAAGTGTTCACTGCATACTTCTACAAAAGCGGGAGGCATCAAGCTGTAGAAGTTCCAATATACATAATATGTTGAAATATCTCAAGCATAAAAACTGTATGTTACGTTGCAAAAATAAAGTTTCTCTCTTCAAACATTTTGATCTGAGCTCAAGCAAAGCAAAATAATGAACACCAGTGATTTTCATATTATCTCACACACTTTAAAATAATCAACACAAAAGGGTAAATAATTGCAAAAACCCTGAAAATATGGAGGCTATGGGAATGAATACATCTCATCCAAAAAAAAAAAAGTCTACAGCAGATCTGTTTCATCCTGGTTCTCAAATAGTTAAGAATCATAATTATACTCAAAATGCAAGTTAAGCCATAACAAACAAAATGATAACAGAAATATCATTACTGCAGACAAGGCAACCTTGCCTTTTATTTCTTTAGACCGATTCACTAGTGCAAGAGCATCATTTACCTGAAAGATCAGAAGAGTCACAATTAAGGAGTACCCATACAAAACTATTTCCTTTTTTCTTTAAAAAGTGCCACATACTATACTTTTCATTACAAATAAAAAATAATAATAAACAAAGCCAACAAACTAATGAAAGACTGTTTGTCTCCATCTCTTGTCAATGAGAAAAGGCCAAAGTGATTCTTTGATTCCAATTCGAAATGGTGTTCGCTGGCCAATGCCCAAGGTCTCTAATTTGGAGCAATCTAGCTGAGCATTTCTTGGACGTTGTGCTCCTAGGACAGGGCTATCAGTAATAGGTCTTAGTGACTGCTGGGGAGATTGAAGGCATCTGCAATTGCACATGCCATTTCATACTTAGTCATTTGTTCATTGCCAGACCAGTGAAAGGTTCCCTTAATCGACGGATCCAGCATCCTCTTCTCTGCTAGCTGCCGACACACAGTAGCTACATCTTTGACGTGTGTGGGAAACCTCTGCTGCCAGTGGTCCATGTTTGCTGACTTGTTGCTGAACTGCACTTTATCAAACATAACAGTCACAGCACTTTCTTCAAGCTTCTCAACTTCTCCGTACAAAATAGGAATCCTCAAAACAGCAGCTCCTAAATTGTTCTCCAGGACAGCTTTTTCTCCTTCCAATTTTGTTTTGCCATACAAATTTAGAGGACTTGGTATGTCTTCCTCCCTATAAGGTGGATTTGTTCCATCAAATACATAATCTGAGCTAATGTAGATGAGAAATGCTCCAACTGCAGCTGCTTCCTTAGCTAAATTCCCAGAAGCATCCACATTAAGTTGAGAAGCAGCATCTGGCTGATTTTCTACAACATCTGGTCTTCTCTCTGCTGCACAATGTACTATGACATGGGGCTGAAAATCATGAACGATGTGATGAACCGCATTAGAATCCAATAGATTAACTTGTTCAAATTTTGGTCTTGCTCTTCGAAAACCACAGCCAACAGCATGCCAGTTATTCTGCTGAAATTCCTTGAATACAGCTCTGCCCAGAAGCCCAGTGGCACCAGTAACTAGAACCCGCCTATTAGGGATGTTAACTTCCTCAAAAGATACAGGATTTGGCTTCTTCCAAATTTCTCAGCTTTTACTTCACTCTCCACTAGCCGGCAGCTTCCAGGAAGAAAGTGGATGGAGAGCTCTTTCGGCCGCCCCACCATGCCCGCCGTTTTCGCGCCGCCGCCGCAGCGGCCGCGACCACGATTGCCGCGGGCCTTAGCTCAGTCGCCTTCGGCCCGCCTCTCTCAGGCCCAGGTCGCGGTGTCTCAATTTTAAAGTTAAAACTTAATCCATTGTATGTCATGGAATGTACACAAAGGATTACAGGCCTCCCTGGTTATTTCTGACTCTGACGGAACGCCTTGATGTAGTCAAAGCACCTACACTCCTACCTTCTCTTGAGCATCTGGACTGCTCAAGGCAGCGTGAGCCTTCAACCCTGGCTACCTCACCCCCTGTGTGACTCTTCTTGTCTCAATGGGATTGTGATTTTGAAGCTGGCTCAAACCACATGCCCCATTGCTAGAACTACAGGGAATTAGCATCTGGGTGTTTTTGGCTGTTGTTTAGTTTTCCCTCTTTCTTGGGGACATTGTCCTACACGCCTGATGTCCACTGTCTTCAAATTGTCATTTATTATCATTTTCCCTTTTCAACCTCAGCAATAGTGACATTATGAATGGGATAATTCCTTTTTGTGTGGTGGTGTCCTGTGCATTGTAGAACATTTAGTGGCATTCTTATCTCCTACTCGTGAGTTGCCAGAAACAACCCGATTTGAATAGTGACGATGGAAAATTTTTAAGATTTTCAAGATTGAGCACTGAGTAACATCAGTAACTGTTTCTCGTTGTCACTAAAGTAGATGGCAGTAAACAGAGAACCTGATAAATTTAGGGGATTGAAAGACCACCTGGGGGAACTTGGTTATTTTTAACAACTGTTGTTCTGTTTAAGCAGGGTAGAGGTGTTCTGCCAGGTGTAAGTACAGGTACCTGGCAGGAACCGTGTGATAAAATGAACTGTGTCCCTTTTTAACTAAGGCCCTGGGGATCCCACCCACCTGTCCTCTTTCTGATATTAGATTCACTGGGTGGGGGTAGGGGGTGGTGGTGGATGAAGAATGAAATGTTGGCTGTTGTCAAAAAAAAGTACGGCTGCTGAAACTTTTAAAAGTCAATGGAGATGTCATTAGGATTTATCTTCTACTTTTAAACTTTCATCTTTTAAATGAAACTATTATATGTAGAGCACTTGGTTTACAAAAGTACTTTTCAAATTATTATCTTGTTTAATGTGCAAAATGCTTATAACTTGGTTATTATTAATATTATTTCCCCTTTAGAATTGTGTAAACTGAATTTCAAAGACTTTAGTAACTTACCTAAGGTCACCCAGGAGGTAAGTGGAAGAGCCAGGAGTTTGATATCAGATCTAAACCTTCTCATTCTAAGTTCCATCTTCTCTTTAGTTTACTTCTTTAGATTCATAGACCATGATGAATTCTTTCTAAATAAAAGAATGGCGTTTGGTGCCCATAGGACAGTGATTAAGGCGCCAGCCACATATGCGGACGCTGGTGGGTTCGAAACTGGGTTGGGCCAGTTAAACAACAATGACAACTACAACAAAAAATAGCCTGGCATTGTGGTGGGTGCCTGTAGTCCAAGCTACTTGGGAGGCTGAGGCAAGAGAATCGCTTAAGTCCAAGAGTTTGAGGTTGCTGTGAGCTGTGACATCACCGCATTCTACCAAGGGTGACATAGTGAGACTCTGTTTCAAAAAAAAAAAAAAAAAAGGGATGATTTCCTGTTTGCCTAGTTGCCAGTGGCGATCTGAGTTGCTAGAAGCCCTGAGCTAAATTTCTGAGGTCAAGCACATTGGCACTGCCAAATGGTCATGGTTTCTGACTAGCATAGATAAACAATTGGACAGCACAGGACGAGCTCTGAGTGCAGCTCACACAAACCACCTGCCCTCAATCCTCCCTGGCCACCTAAGTCCTGCTTTAGAGAGCATTGTGTCTTTGCCCTGGACCTGGGTGGTATTCAAACACAGGAAAAAGCTTTGCTACCAGAAAGGTGGTCATTGAACTGGCAGTGTTAGGATCACCTAAAATTTTTTTTTTTTTGGCAGTTTTTGGCCGGGCTGGGTTTGAACCCGCCACCTCTGGCATATGGGGCTGGTGCCCCACTCCTTTGAGCCACAGGCGCCGCCCAGGATCACCTAAAATTTTGATTGAAATGAAGAATTTCAGGCCACAACACTTAATGGGGATCTGTGGGCAAGTTCCCTACAAGATTCCTGGACACATTAAAGTCTGAGAAGCACTGTAGTAGGTCCAGGTGTCCTTTGTGACTTCTCAAAGTCCTCTCCACTCTAGTGGTTCTTTAACCCAATAGCAGATGACCTGGACAGTTTTCATGATTCCAGGAGGGTGTGCCTAATCACATCAGTAATGTTATGGCTACTGAAGATGTCAAGAAGCCAGGTATGCCTCAAACTCTTCCCAACATGAAGTCATGCAAGCGTATTTGTCTCTGAAGTTCCCAAGGCCGTGACTGCATCAGACATGCACGGGTGGGATGTGACTACCACCTGAGGGTGTGCTTCTAACGTCAGATGCACTATGCTACCCTGTCCACAGGATTAAGTGAGGTGGCTGTGATCACTGATACTTTCAGGATCTTTATAAATAACACATTTTATTCAGTAGCCTATCAGGAATGTAGGCATTAGCTAATAGAATAATGAAAATGGTGAGTCTAATGTTTGGTTTTCAGATTTGTCCCTTTACTGGTTATAAGTCAAAAAAATCTGATTTCTCTAGACCTCATTTTCTATAAGTTGAAGAGATTAGACTGTTAGTAAGAACTTTTTTTTTTTTTAAAGAACTCCTTTTATAACTCATTAAAACAAACAGAACTCACCTATGGCTAGGCAGGGTTAGTGTGATAATCTATTTTCACAGCAGCTATAAAACATAGTTCATGGACACCATATATCATTTTATGAAAATTGCCCAATTGGTCCATAAAAATAATAAACACATTGACAGGGACTTGTATCGGACTTTGAAAGATTGCTAAGAATATTCTCCTAGGAGAATTTAAATGATAAGTAACTACACTCTAAAAGACAGCGGTTACTATGACTTGCTGAGACAGCTTGTGATTGCAAACAGCTGCTTTGAGGCTGACTCACGTGCTCAAAGTTCAGATGTCTTACAGGGACACTTCTCTAGAGAAACAGGAAACAACATAACATCTACTTCTCCTTCTGGAGGAGGGCAGGCCCTACCTAGACAAACTGAATTTTGCTAACTCAGCTCTTCAATTAGTGATGGTTTAGTGATTATGACATATGTGATTAAGCAAAACCTTCCAATAAAAAGTATCAGAAATCTATAATTTTTTAAAAAAAATTTAACTGTACAAATTTCAAAAATACAAAAAATAATTTTTAATGATATCTACGGAATTAATAAATACTAACATTTTGTCATGTTTTCTTTCGAGTCTTCATCTTTTTGCTGTAGAAATTAAACACACCTACAGTTAAAGTCACACTCACTCCTACATCAATCCCACAACCATGGTTTGAAATGGTTTGTATTATTATTCCCTTGAACTTTTGACACTCCCATATATATTTATGATCCTAAATAATGCAAACCACCCCATCAGTTTCTTTTAATTTGCATGAATGGCATCTGTCTCAGATGCCAAATCCCCTCAAGCCACTCCATTTTCAGGAAGTTGGTGGGGGACAGTTTTGTGGACACTGCCAGGTACCCATGATCAGTTTTCAGTAAATCTCTGTTCTTCTACTCTCCACTTTTCCTGGGACACTGGAAGTTTCTTGGCTGCACAGGTGCAGATTACAAAGGTGGAGGAATAATCCCGGGGAAACCCTCAACTAATGAGCAAAAGAATAAAGAGGCAAGTTTTCCAGGCTCTTGTTTTTCTGAGGGAAAGTCATGAGACACAAACCACACAATTCCTTCAAGAGCCCCAAGCAGGCTAGTAACCAACGCAAAACACATTCTGTATTCACCTGTTTCCTTTGCCTCCTTGCTCCTTCCTGAAATTACTTCCCGTGTAAACCACCAAGTCCATATCCCATCATTGAATTCTCTGCTCAGTTCAAGTAGTTCGAATAGAAATCATCTTGGGTTTTATTGCAGTGTAGTTTTAGAATGTGTTTTGATTTAATAAAAATCAGTAAGTCTGATTTCTATTTGTTGAGGTTTTGTGACCTAGTACATGGTTAACTTTTGCAAAATGTTTCATGTTGGTTTGAGAAGGAGCATTCTCTAACTGTTGAATGCAGACTTATGAACATGTCTATCAGATCAAGTTTGTTGAATTTTGTGGTTGAAATATTCTACCTATTGGTTCATGTCCTCTTGATACATTTGTGAGAATGGATGGGGGGTGAGGGTGTCTGGCACACATTTTTTATGTGGGACATAACCACAAGAGGGACTTTACTTAACAAAATCAAAAAAATTTTTTTTTTTTTTTGCAGTTTTTGGCCAGGGTTGGGTTTGAACTCGCTGCCCCCAGGATATGGGGCCAGAACCCTACTCCTTTGAGCCACAGGTGCCACCCACCAAATCAAATATTTTGGCCTGGTTGTGATTGGAAACCACAGCTGCTTTGAGGCTGACTCCCATGCTCACATTTCAGATGTCTTCTAGGGACATTTCTCTAGAGAAACAGCATACAACATTATATCTATTTCACATTAACCTGAAATAAATTTACTTTTCAAAAAAATAAAGTACCATAAACTTTGCCAAAAAAATGCATAATTGTAGACTTATTGTTTCCTTTTAAGTCTGTAAGTTTTGCTTTTAAAGTTTGAGGCTTTGTTGTTAAGTGCATATAGTTCTAGGATTAGTATATCTTTATCTTGAATTATATATTTTGCCTTTAATGCCTATTTTATCTTTTGCTAGTATAGTTTATTCAATATTTTGTTTTTTGATCAGTATTTTCCTGGCCTAACTTTTTTCATCCTTTTTTCTCTCAAATTTTCTGTTGGAATTATGATTTCATATATGGTCAATATATGTCCTTTATCATTGACGGTTAGATTTTGCTTGCTTTTTCCAAATTATGAATTTTTATACATGTAACTGGCAAATTTGATGAGTTTAAATTTATTGTAGTAATAAATATTTTCAGATTGCCTACCATTCTATTACATTTCTAT